GTTGTTTCAGTTGGCCATTGTAATCGGCGTGCAAAAGCTTCACATTTTAACTGATCACCTGTTAATGTGACTTCTTTCATTCCAATCACTTTGATACCACTGATCAAATTGGTTATATCTAAACTGCATGGATTAGCTTCTGTCTTATTATCGACTGTTTCTAAATTTTCTAATCGAATTAGAATTTGATTTGGTACTCGAGGATCAGGCAATGAAACTCTGTTAAGAGGCCATGAAGTTAAACTTAATAAGTGAATGTGTTTCGGCAATGCAACATTGGTTCCACTCCAACCATTGACTTCAGTTGGTTTTGGTTGGTGTTTGGCTTGCATGAATAATGGAATAACTGGTTTACTAATCATTTGAGCAGCTATTCTGTCTTGTGTTTCAATAATTTCCAATTCATCAAATCGTATTTTAAGTATTCCACGTACAACAAGGCCTTGAGAATATGAAATTAAACGGGAATAAAATCATTAACCAACTAAAAATTCAAACAATCATAGACTGGCTGGTTGATAAGGTATGATCTGACATACATCGGTTACTCAGTTAGCACTGTCTCATAGCTTAAATCGCAAACATTATCCTGACTACAGTTGAGTGATTATCATAGTCATATACAAAAAAGGACTGAGCAAATATACTGGTTGATTCAAGTAGACACCCTGCATTAGCACAGGGAGATGCTCGAGTAGCATAGATAGTGATGCTGTCGCCAGCAGTGGATAAGATAGAGCACAAAAGGTCACTGTTTAAAAAATATTATGAATGACAATAGAAATATTTAACACTTCAAGTGTTGTGTAAAAATAAATTCGAACATATTGAGTGATCAGTAGTCAGCAGTAATAATTTAGTGTGTATACTGTTGACAAAATGCGACACGATCAATCAGTGCATTATCTCTATTTTTTTTATTACTAACGCGCATGATCTGTATGGAATACTATAGCATGATCCTGAGGCGTCTCATCCATCTCCTTAACAGTAGGTAATGAGATTGTTGCTGATACTAACCAGACAACATGCAGTTTCTGACGTAATACGTGTTGCGTAAAAGTGGTAGCCGACAAAGATGCATCAACCTGTCAATTGAATAAATGTCTCGTAATAGTACCTTGCATCTGATCTTCTCGTTCTTCACTTGGCATTCTGTTAGGATATTTATCTAATATCCTAAGAGAATTATGGTTCAAATCCTATCGGTCGATTTCTATCGGTAAAAAATTATGGTCGTTTTAACTGTCAAAGTCAAATACTTCAATGTTGTCTCTTATTGATCATCCTGACTATCAATGTCACTCCAAATGTTGCTTCCTATTGGTTGTCTTAACTGTCAATGCCACATAATTCGACGCTGTTTCCTATTCGACCAAAATGTTTAAATACGCATTATCTGTAACATTTGATAACCACGATCAGGACCAGGGCTCGGTCCTGGCTCCCTAGACCGGGATCCTGATTCTCTTCTGGATTGTGTGAAACATTCCTAACATGCATAGCTAAATGCTTTGTAGGCAACTATGATCAAACGTTAGTGATCAAACTATAAGCTCTATTTTTAAAGGTCCGTTTTTATAGCCATAAAACAGGAGAGAAGAAACTGTCGCTCGGTTCACTTATTCCTTTTTAGCAAGTAGAAGTAAGTTTTCAAAAGTCATTTGAATTTCATAAATATCTCCGAAGGTTTCTTTGGATACCAGGCTATCATAGTTGATTCGACTTGCTATGTTATGTGTTCAATTGTATTTATGTCTCAAAATCTTCCAACAATCAATCCTATGAATCCCTAAGTAACAATGAAATGGAGTTGGTGAGAAGTTTCAAACTGGGACAATCCACATATCCCAGTGTTGCTTGAATATATCAGTTTTACAAGTTAGTATACATTGTATATGTGAAACCACATTGTAAAAAGACACCTCTTTTAGCCTATTATCAGTTTCATTATGAATTCTCTATCAGCTTCTATGATTTAGGCAATGTAAGTCAAAAAATGAGAAGACTTAGTGATTGTGACCAAGTATAGCCCTCCCTCCATACACCTCTTATTATGACTCACTAAGTATTGACTGCAATTCATTAGCATGGATTCATATAAAAGACATTCACATTGTGTCATAGTGAATGGTTGCTAACAATGAAATACAAAAGACGTTCTTCGTCATACTTAGAACTCATCAGTTGAATGTACCCGTATCACATCAACAATTTTAACATTGTAGATATATAGAAAACCATATACAACAGCAGCCTGTTCGTGATCTATAAAAATGTAAATACATTGAAGCTTCACTTAAATATCGTGCGCTGCTTTAATGGACGCAAAATCATAATGAATGCCTTAATGTTAAATTTGTATGAATATCATTTGGAATTGACTTGGCATGTATGTTTATGTCTTGAGACTAGTTAATATGTTTTGCTTAAAAATAGGATATATACCTTGATGATCCAATCCATTCTCCATCAATGCTTCACTTACACCGAAACCATCATCACGTACCAATCGACGATGCAGCATTATTTCTATTTGTCCATCTTTCAAACTTGTTCCACCTTGAGCACGATCTGTATAAATAGCTAATCCAAATGGAATTTCATCACTTTTCATGTCACTTTCATTCGATTTACGTAATACAATATTTTTTAACATAATTCTGTTGATAATAGGATAGTAATTACCGGCTACATTTTCTGTTTCACTAAAATTCACGGGCAGATTCCAATCGATTCTTTTGTTACGCATTCGTTTGATCAAACGTCTACCAGATGAATCAGTGAAAAATTCACCTGAAGTAATGGAAAAAAAGATCAACCTGATACAAAACTGAAACCTTAAGCTTTCAGTATTCCATAAAATGATAAATAATAGTGAACATGGTGAAGAAGATTGGTAGCTCAGGTGGATGATTGTGGTGGTTGTGTTTGGTTCTCTGAGCTGGGTGCTTCGGTTGTGGAGACTTCATTGTTCTTCTACTGAACAACATCATCAGCACAAACGTCAGATAGAAGTGAAGCATTCGTTTGTGTTGCTGCTATTTTTGCTCCGTAATTTCACTCGACATTTCGAAGACGATTTTGGTATTATATCGATATCACGAAACCACCAGTAAAATATATTCTCCGACAAGAAATAACTTCTTTTCTGAGACAGGCTCGTAATTACTGCGATGTTGATCATAGTCCATCGCGACAGGATCGCCACTACACACGTGCTCTGTGGTATCTCGTATTTGTATCTAGATTCTTCGAATTTATAATCTGCTTGTTCATATCATGAGCCAGAAAATAGATAAGCTTTACAATTGAACAATATCACAAACTAACGTCAATCAACAGATAAATGGCCTGATAGGGTTATTTCAGTTATAGCTTTTATGCTGACAGCTGGCGATCACTGAGAATAAATTCCTACTGACCGACACAAAACATATAGCACACAAAAACAAAGTTTGTTGTGTTGTCAGTCTAGATTTGTAATGGATAGATTTAGGTAGGGCTAGATACCATTCTGCTGAAGAATGCATCGCTCGTTTATTGATAAATATTTACCGTATTTTCCGTATATCAGAAGAGGAAGCTACCGCTAAATCAAATAGTTCAACATTATTCATACAAATTCTGTGTGAACAAATTTTGTGAAGTAAAAGCTAACAGTTTTACATCATGGAATTATCTGAGTAGAAATTAATTATTTTTCAGCTGAATAGCTATATAAGTACATATTGAAGAGTCATTCTCAGCCCACTACTTCGTAAAAGCCGCTTCTGTCAACGAAATAAACAAAGCATCTAAATTTGTACCACCGACCATAACATTGACCACTTTTACATATTTTATCATTATCAACCGAATAAAAATATGATAGAAATGTAAAAGGTTAGATTTTTTGAGGAAATCAACCAGTTGATTTGTCGATTATTTCTGTTTTGCCAGTTACAGAGTAGAACGTCATGATATTGATTGATATTAAATGACTGGAATAATGGCCGACATATAATTCAGCAATTAAATTTGGTCGTATTGTTCATCAAAACTTTTCGTGAGATTCACTGCCTAATATTTTGTGCAAGTCATTTGGCCTATCTCTCTCTCTGATGAACATAAAGTGGCTCTTCATTGAACAGAATGTTTCCTCATTTTCTTTCTGTCTTGTGAAACTAGGAAATATAAATGAGGTGGTTTTTAAGGATTGTTCAAATTGTTCAGACGAATAATAACTAACAATTAATGACATGTAGGTTAACAAAATACTTGACGAAATTAAAGTTACCTGGATTCTTGACAAATGTATTACTGTTGTTCAGCGTATATCGTATTACCAACTCACGACTGTTTAAATAACCATCATCTGGTATGGGACCAGCAGTCCATTCTACCTCTAATTCCCCATTATTATAAAGGCGTACAACTAGGGAGGCCCATGATGCATAAGTCACGTGAAATTCTTTAACACATGATCCTTCTATGACCTTAAGAAATACAACAAAGAAGCGTGGTGATGAAAGGCTTGAAAACTTGAAATTTACTATAGGTTTTTATCTAAGGGTTGGTGATACTTGACTTGGATGATTATCATGAAGATCACTAATCTATTGATGTTGAATCCTTTTTGAAAACCTTAGAGTACTAGACAGTCGTTTCTTCTCAATTTGAGACTATCCAACTACAGGCATTCACAGCTCTACATGCGAGCACAAAATTCAGGATCTACGTGGTTACGAGCTAATATCTACTGCAAGGCCGATGAGCCAACATGCAACGATAATATTATCTAACTCCAGTCAATCAGCAATATTCCATGATCATTATACATTGTCTACATTGATGCACTGTCTCACACACGATACTTTTGAACTCCATTGGTGAGGAATCTCAGTTAGAACTCTGAGAGCTTACTCACGAAACTAGTCACTAGTGAGCACAGGATAATTGCCAGTGAGACAGATTCGAGGAAAATCTGGTCATCCGGAGTATCAGAATATGCATTGATGGTCTAACAGTGACAGTTTCATTTTCAATGAAACTCATTCATATACACGACCACAATACCAGTTTGGATACCACGCGGACACCTTCAAAATTAAAACGCCTGAAACAGACAAGGCAGTTTCTGTGCAAACAACGAGTGACACACCTTCGCAACTGCTGAGAAGATTGACAAATCGAAGGTACAGGCCAGTCACTCGGTTGCATTTGGACCCTAGAGCTAAATCCGAGGAATCTAATCGAAGGGGAGGTGTTAGTGTGACACAGATGTAATAAAGCATGACTGCGTTAGCTGCGCTCTCATTTGCTACATCTAATCAGTCGGCGCTAGTCAAACACATGGATTAGATTCCAGAAGCTTTTCAAGTAAAAACTATAAAGATACTAACGTTGTTTCTATTTCGCCTTCGATTCGTCTTCTTACTTCAATTTAACCTTGCTATTTGAAATATAGTCTCCAACCTGTTCCACCGTGTTCTTATACGGGGACTTGTCGAGTGTACGTTTTTCAGAGAATACAAAGCGATAGCAATAGCCGAGTTTACTGAGAGAGATTTATAAACAATTTTATGCAGGGTAAGTGACATTCTACAAACAATCCGAATTCGTTAGACTAATGTATATGGTGAGAAGACGTTTGTAACACACAGGTCTGTTTGACGACTACAACGGATTAATTACATAATCTCCTATTATTCCTTTCGAAATATTTGTAGTCGTCGGTCAATCTTTACTTCTCTCCGTCTATATCATTTGCTATCTCATTATGCGCATAATTTTTATCACATATTTCCGATGATGAAGTCGATAAGTATCAGTTCTAGGAGAGTCTGCAGTCATTGATCCAGAAGCGCGAAACGATTTGACGGTCGAAATCAGTCAGTCAGATGCAACATAGAACTTCGTACATGGGCACATCAATTCATGCTGACATACTACATTAGCACACAGACGCAACTGTCAATTCAAATCTTATATCGGTAAAGATTGTAGGAGTAATACTTATAATAGAGAGGATTCGGATTCCAAGATATTATTTAAAAAGTATAATATAGTGAGATATGTTTAGAAAGAAAAACGTAGAGCTGTTGGCGAATCCAGAATATTAGGGTTTGAGAGAACACAAATAATGAATGCTCCTGCGCAATCGCAAACGATTATGAGCCACGTCATCCAAGGTCTACAACTATCGGTTACTATTATATCGTGCACCCAACTAGGTAGCCTACATCTACCAACATGACACAGTCCACTTGTCAATGACGTCATGCATTTCTGCCATTTTTTTGTCTGGCCACCACTAACTTTCTTCCAACCTACTCCTACACTACAAAACAAAGCTCGTCGAGGTAGTTGGTGATCGGGCATTCGTAACACATGTCCCAAACCACCTAAAGTGATGAAGTTTCAGTACTTCATCTATTGATCTGTCATCCTCTTTACCTTGAACTTTTAATGACTATTCAAATCTTCCATGATCAACGTATAATTCTCGGTAATGATTTCCACTGTGCACAGATTTACGTGTCTTAATTTTTCTATCTTGTTGTTGAATTCTATCTGTAAACGACTTCACAAAATTAAACATTCAGGTGACTAGAGGTTTTAACGAATCCTAAACTGATAGTAATCCATCACCTAGCTTCTGTTTAATTCTTTCAAATTTAACTAGTTGACACACAATTAACTGAACTCAATAAACTTTGAATTATCGAAATTGTGAAAATATGAACAATTCAAATAAATTTATCAAATTACTTACATTCACTGTAGGTTTTGAAAAACTTTGTATGAATGTACCATATTTTGGTAAAAATATATAAGCACCAGATGGTTGTGGATATGTTGTTTCACCGAAATAATATAATAATTCAATTGTCAATTGTATATTTTCACCAGATTTTAAATGTTTCATTGTAATGACTAATGGATTATGAGAATTTTTATTGAATTTTATGCTGTAGTCAATCGTTTTAGACAATGATTGATGTATATCAGTAGTAGTCGAATGAGTTGACGATGATGATGATGATGATGACAAAAAGTCAGTCATTATTGTTTGTGATTTTCTAATATACTTTAAATTTAAATGTTTAAACACATCACTCATATAATCTTGATCATGGTAAATTGTATAATTTAAAGCTAAATAGAATAAATTCAATCCGATTGGTGATAATGATTTTGCATTGAATACAATTTCATAATTAGCTAAATGTTTTTCACTATGTCTTTCAGGTATATTAAATGTACGTTCAGTAATTGGTATTAATTGATATTGTAAATTATCCGCATGACTAACAGGATTATTGAATAATGTGGATGATCTGGACGAGGATGAAGATGAAGATGAAGACGATGATGACGGTAATAAACGTAAATCTTTCAATATAATTTGTATATTATTCAAATAATATTCTGGAATATAAACTGGTAAACGTATCCATGTATTGGCTAATTCCCAACCTAAAGGATTATATAAAATGATGAATAGACCATCATCAGCCTTACGATCATCACCGTCTTCGCTTTGATTGGAGTGAGAGAATTGTATTTTCAAGTGTTCTGTTGCATCACACAAGCTAATATTTAATAGATCACAAAATAGAACATTATTTTTGTCAATAAATGATTTGAGTGTAGGCAATAATTTAATTAATGACTGGTTAATTAATCGATGACACGATGTTGATGCTTTGCTTAATCGCCATGCATAATCATCAGCGACATGTTGTTTTTCTGTACCAGACACAGCATCATGATGTTGTAGTACACCGAGTGTTCGTCTTAATGTGTCAATTAATTCATCTGTTTTAATTTGAGCTTGATAATCATTAATTTGTGCTAGACGATCTACATGTAAATGTACCTAGAAATTAATGTATTCAAGAGCAAAATAATGTAAGCCGATTTTATAAATAGAATGTTTGTTTTGTTTTGGTTGAAATTAAAAAAAGAAAACAACTAACAATTGAGGTGGTAATGTGAAAAAATATTGATTATGTTGAAATACACGAATATTATTCATCAGTCATTAAATACGATGAACAATGAAACAGTTTCAATAAGAAACTTACATGATCGAACAATTCATGAACCGAAAGTTGACAATCAAAACCATTTTCCAATTCAAAGTTGAATATTAGAAAATAAAAGATGAATATTGGAGAAATCATGAATTAATCATTGTTAGACTACTGTTAGATAGCCGGAAACACTGGACACCTGTTTCGTCCTGTTATTGGACTCATCGACAGCGCGCATCCTTGACACCTGCTACTCGTAGGATTTAATCTGACTGGGATTCTGGGTGCCCAATTAACCTTGAAGATAAAACTATGATATTTTTAGAGGTTGTATGCAGTTCACTTTTTGAAAAGATTGAGCTTACTCGTGTATAAAAATGCACTTGACTCGATAATGATACTCAGGCAAATAACTTTCTTAATTGACCTACATCAACTAGAAATTCATTGACAATCACAAAAATCAATTCACTGACTTGCTCTCACAAAAATGATAAGAGACTCTAAGTGATATGTCATAAGAAGCTCCGCAGAGACGCAGATGCGTTTACTGTTTATTTTACCCTCATAAATTCTTGAATATCTCATTGACTGACATAATCCTATCGAAATGGATTTCTGTCGACTAATCCTAAGTATGAGCATCACAATTCTTACTACACCTACCCTTACTGATTTTACGTTGACAAATTCATCTTAATGTACCAGTGACGCATGATAACGTAGGTTGAATTACACATATGTCAGGCTCTATGTAACATGTGACGGACTAACTCACTTAACATTTAAATCACTAAATTCGATTAGGTTTATCGAATTGATGATTACGTCATCGATCGGATTTTGTTAAAAACAAAATACAAAACATGTTGCGTGTATGTGACTGACGAGAAAGCACGAAATGGTACTATCTCACAAAATATGTCTTCTCACTGCTCTATTCAAATTTATCAAATGGAACCACTGTTTTGAATTTCTAAAAAGGAAACTCCCACATTCCACCATCAAAAAGCTGCACCAACTAGTCAACTTGAGGTGTAAATTAATGGCTGAAAAGGTCAGGTTGGAATTCCTAAATAAATGCATTATTGACAACCACTTCCCATGCATTTATAACAAAATTCTTCGACGAAATAAAGTGCGAATGACAAGTTCTAGTCTGAGGAAGTTAACACGAATTCAGATTGACTCTTGCATTGACAAAATAAACCAATACAAAGAAACTAACACACATTTCATACCACTTATTGAACAACTATCCATCATTTGTCATGTTAAACTACTAAACTTCTGCAAAGATATATTAGAGAGAACGGCGAACCAAACATGGACGCTATCAAAGACCCGAACGATTTCAGAATTCCCAGAAAATTTCACAGAACGTGTTTACAACCTATCCAACTTCAATCTTGACGAGGTTCACCTAGAAGCTCTTTCAATGGGAATAAATTACAATGTACCACCTAAAAGAATCGATAAGAATTTGGTGGACGCCAATTTCGAAAACCTCTACAGCCAGTTCTCAAATTTGACTCCAACATCAGCTAAGAATGAGGCATAGCTCAAAGTCAAATAAGTTGATATATCCCAGCAATTTGCAAACACTCCTATCAACCAAAATTCTTGTCTAACGAATGAGCACGAGGAAGCATTCAAGGAACTTAAGAACAATTCCACAATAACAATCTCCAAACCAGACAAAGGTTCCGGCGTAGTAGTCATGAATAAGGATGACTACATAACGAAAATGAACGTGATCCTCTCAGACTCTGCTAAATTTAAATCAGATTCACGGATCGATAACGTGAAGTTGGTCGAAAAACAGATATGCCGAGAACTACATCTACTCATGCTTGATGGTTTTATCACCGAGGTCCACTATAAAATGCTCAAGCCCATTGGTACATGCACACCACAAATATATGGCTTACCGAAACTACACAAGCCTACAACACCTATGAGACCAATTTTGTCCATGATAAATTCACCATACCATAAGCTAGCAAAGTGGCTGAAAGAAATTTTGGACCCTGTTTGTAAACAACTGTCGACACATACTATCCTCGATTCCTTTGAACCTCTCCCAACCTTGGAACACTCGAATATTTCTAATAGTCGGATGTATTTTTTCTATGTAAACACTTTGTTCACAAATATACCCCTCGAAGAAACTGTGGAATTTATTTGTGACTTCATAACTTCACACAATATAAGACTACCCATTCCGACTACCTATCTTCGAGATCTAATTTTGCTGTGCACAAAGAATATAAAATTCTATTTCCAAGGTAAAACATATACACAAATCGATGGAGTGGCTATGGGAAGCCCTCTCGGACCTATTTTAGCAAACATATTCATAGGAATGATAGAAAGGCAAGTGAGTCACTTCATCGATGCTATTACACTTTACAAACGATATGTCGACGATATTCTTGTCATATTACCACATTCTACAGATATTATTGAAATCAATAATCTGTTTGATGCGATTCACCCGAATGTGAAAGTCTTTTATGAGGAAGAAAAGAATAATGAACTAGCTTTCCTCGATGTCCTGCTCCATCGCCGTCCAGACGGATCAATCAGACGAAAAGTACACCGCAAACTCACCTGGTCGGGACAGTACCTCCACTTCACTAGTTCCTGCCCCATACAATAAAACGTTCTGTTGTCAAAACTTTATTCACTCGAGCAAGCAGAATCTACACTGCTGATACATGTGTGGTGTGCCGATTTATTGCGTGTTCTTAAGCTCGGTTTATAAATCAGAAGATGAACTCCAAGTACCGTATACGTTTATTTGAGGCACACCACAATGCGAAGTGGAGAAGCGAATTGGAGAAGGCTAAGAGCCAACTCAAAGAGATAGAGTATGACTAAGAATATATAGTCAGATAAGAATAAGACAGACATATGACAAGCGAAATAGGTATGCACGACGAATGCGACGAATGATTGACAAGTTCAAATGACAAGCGATACAAATCATGTGAGTTCATGGGAATATTACGAGATTAACATTAAAGCGAAAAGGATGAGTAAGCGCGTAAGCGTAAGCAACGCTCAGTCGTATAAGCTCATACAAAGCAGATTATAAAAAATATCAATGGTACATATGAGTTGTTGCTATACAAATGGCTTGGTTAAATAAATTAATCGAAAGGGCTTAACCAAGTTAGAGGTAAGAGAACTGGAATATATGTGGAGGCACTACACATTGAACGACGAATTCAAGGTTATTACTGAGACACTTAAACCAAACGGATATCTCGAAACGTTTATTGGTCGTCAGAACACAAATACGACGAAGCTGACAGCTACTGATGTACCCAAGAAACCAGTGTACCTACAGTTTCCTTTCAAGGGTGATCATTGCATGAAAATTAAAACCAAACTGACTGCAGCTGCAATAAAAAATACCTTCAATGCAGCTAACCTGAGGCTTATCACAACAACTCAATCGATCTTAGTTACCCCAATCAAGTCTCCAAGACAGATTCAGTACAAATCCCACTGTATTTATCAATTCACATATAACTGCGGACAAAGTCACTTAGGGAGGACAGATCGCCGATTAGAAGACAGGATAGGGGAACATATTCCAAAATGGCTAATCAAATCCATGATTCATCAGCCTAGCCCATCATCTCAAAATCGATCAAGAAACCCAGCCTCGTCCATTGCAAAACATCTAATGATGAGTGGTCATCAAATTGACCCGAAATCAGCCTTTATAGTTATGACATGTCATCAAAACCCACACACACTCAAACTACTCGAAGATATCTTGATTGGTTGGAAAAGTCCAGCTTTATGTATTCAAAAACAACTGTATGTTGACCTTTGTTTACCATGGTTCTAGTGAGTGAATGTCATGCTAAATAAGAAATTTTGACCTTATCTTCAAAACTGTATTTACACAAATAACATGTTGCTTGTATGTGACTGACGAGAAAGCACGAAATGGTACTACCTCACAAAATATGTCTTCTCATTTCTCTATTCATAAACAAAATAGTTTATTATAAAATTCAATAGACATAGAAATCGAAAACTGCCTAAAACACTACAATTTCCAATGAACTGTTTATAGCTCTGGACTATTATAACTCAACTCATCAAGTCAACAATGAACTGTTCAACAAAGTTTACTCATGTTCAAACTATCCTGTTGATATGTTGAAACAGTTATATTTCACTGTAAGACAATGTTTCATTCCACAATTCGATATTTGAAAACAGTTTGATCAAGTGAAATAGTATTCAGAAGAATATTGATTAATTGGAAATGAATATTTGTTATGAAACGAACTAAATAAAACATCCTCTATTCAATCAATAAATGCTTAAGCGAATGGTAAGAGTAGAGTAAATGATGTATTCAACAAAGTGTGCTCATGTAAAAGAAACTATACTGCTTGACTTTCCACTAATAATACTGCTTACTTAATTCACATGGAGAAGCATAGGTCGCCAACCAGTATTCTCCAATCCACTTTGTTTCCTTTCCAATTCCGTCAAATTTTTGTTCATTCTTCTCACGGGCCTCCGTTTCTCAACATAATGTGATCTTGGCATTCCTCTTTTCCTTTGACTTTTAGGATTCCATCTGATGGCTTGTCTCTTGAGGCAGTTGGCTGCTTCTGCAAGGTGTGTCCTATCTACTTCCACCGCTTCTTCCTGATTTCGTCCTCTGCTGGAATCTGGTTTGTTCTCTCCCACAATAGGTTGTTGCTGATAGTGTCTGGCTAACGAGTCTGAAGTATTCTGCGTAGATATCTGTTAATAAACACTTGTTTCTTCTGGATGATCGCATTGGTATTTCTCCATGTTTCCGCTCCATACTGTCTTTGACAATTGTAATGAAAATCCTGATGTTGGTATTGATTGACAGTTGTTTGCAGTTCAAGATATATTTTATTTGCTTCGCCGATTCACACCTTCACATCTGCCTCGGATCCACTTTGATTGTTGATGATGCTGCCCAGATGAGTTAACATCCTCAAACGTATCTCTTTCAAGAGTGGTTTGGAGTTGTGTTGTATCTTCTTGAAGGATTTTCTCAGTCTTTCGAATATTACAAAATTTTCTTTTCATATTTTACTTCATTAAGCAATTTTTCACACGTTACATCCTAATAAATTACAAACAGCCTTGTATTTTAATACAGATTACTATTTTTAATAGATCGATTAATCAATATTAAGATTGTGCCGCCTACATGCATGAACGTCATGCAAAAAAAGATATTCTTTAGATGGTAAAGAGAATTTGCAGCTCATACGGATGATTGTGGTGGTGTTACGTTTTCTATGAGCTAGATGTTTTGGTTATGAAGCATTCGTTTTTCTTCTGGACAACATCATCAGCACAATTATCAAACAGAAGTGAATTATTCGAATTTCTCCACGTTTGACTCACAGTCTGTTAAGTTAACCTTGTTCTTGACTGACTCAAGGTCAACATCAACCAATCAAGATCGAGGTTAACGTAACAGACTATGAGTCAAACGTGGTGAAATTTGAGCATTTCACTTCTATTTGCAATTTGTGCTGATGATGTTGTTCTGAAGAAGAATAAAGAAAACGTCTCAACCGAAACATCTAGCTCACAGATAACGAAACAACACCACAAAGATACTCTTCCCTCAAGTGTCTTTATACCAAATACTTCATCATTATATATATATATATATATATATATATATACATTATGAAGACGTCGACATCTGGAGAGAAGCACGGTATCAACAGGAAAGCTAGGACGCAGCTGGACGATCTGGACGTCTCAGATGACCTGGCTCTTCTATCGCACACGCAACAACAAATGCAAGAGAAGACGACCAGTGTAGCAGCAGCCTCTGCAGCAGCAGGTCTCAACATACATAAAGGAAAAAGCGAAATTCTTCGATGCAACACAACATGCACCAACCAAATCACTCTTGATGAAGATGCCTTGGAGGACGTTAACACCTTTACATATCTTGGCAGCATCATCGACAACCAAGGTGGATCCGATGCAGATGTGAGGGCACGGATTGGCAAAGCAACGGCTGCATTTCTACAGTTGAAAAATATCTGGAACTCCAAACAACTTTCAACCAAATCCAAAATCAGGATTTTCAATACAAATGTCAAGACAGTTCTACTGTATGGAGCGAAAACATGCAGAACTACGAAAGGCATCATTCAGAAGATACAAGTGTTTATTAACAGCTGTCTAGGCAAAATACTTCGTATTCGTTGGCCAGACACCATCAGCAACAACGAACTGTGGGAGAGAACAAACCATATTCGAGTGGAGAAGGAAATGAGGAAGAAGCTGTGGGAGTGGATAGGACACACACCACGAAAAGCACCTAACTGCGTCACAAGACAAGCCCTCACATGGAACCCTCAAGGCAAAAAGAAAGGAGGAAGGCCAAAGAATACATTACGCCCAGAAATAGAGAAAGATATGAGAGGAATGAACAAACATTGGACAGAACTGGAGAGGGAAGCCCAGGACAGATTTGGTTGGTGAAAACTGGTAGGCGGCATATGCTCCATTGGTGGTTACAGGCCTAAGTAAGTAATATATAAGCATGGAATCACAAGGCTAGTTTCAGATTGGTCAGGCAAGAGTAAACCTAGTCTGTAAACTAATTTTTTGATGAACATTTAATTGAAAAGATACAGGGATACAAAGATAGATACTAGTGTAAGTGAGAGAAAAAATCAATTCACTTACTTGTTCACACATTGATAATAAATTTGATGCATGACGTACATAATATTTCAGTGATGGTCGACTAGTATAATAACCAGTCCAATATGAATGTGGTCCACTAGCATATGGAAAGAAATCACCACCACGACGATGAATTGTACCAAGACGAGTGAATTCATCATTTACTGCTTTTGTATAACATGCTGGTGTAGAATAGAGTAGATTCACTTGACTATTATTCAATTTTTGACGTTGATTTACATAAGCAATTAATTTATCCATATTTTTATAATTCATATTAGCATTTTCATAAGTAAAATCACAACCCATCAAAACCATAATATGATTTGTTTTGAAAGCTTTTGATATAACATGAATATAATTTAAAAAATCATCAACTCTTGATTTGACATTATAATCTTCTAAATTAGGATCATCTTTAATTGGTTCATCCATACATTTATCATCAAAACAAAATGATTTTGGATAACAATATGAATCATGAAACATACTTGTAAATAAACCTTTACCGAATTTTTTCAATTCAACATTTGTATCCCATAGAATTTCTAATTGTTTCAATCGTTTACGTATTAGTTTTTCACGAAAATCCATACGTTGAAAGTAGACAGCATCGAAACCAGCATCTTGAAACAAGTCGGAATGATCACGTGCATGTCCAAATGGATCAATTTGCCAAGCAACTAATGGCAGACCACATTCACCAAATAATTGTTTTAATAAATCACGTCCACGTGTCAATTGGTCTATTGCATCAGTATAATAGACTGTAGCTTCATCAGCCATACTCCAACCACCTAGAGCAAATTGTAATCGTCCTGTATTGACTAAATCTTTAACTATTTGACGTTTAGTTAGTGGTTGTCCTATCCACCATCTGACAAAAAATGCCATTTCAACATAAGTAAATCGACGTTGAGGATCATCAACTAAAGCTTGTATAACACTATCTAATATATATTGAACACCAGCACGTTGTATTGTATTATTTGATCCATAATAATATTGATCAACAGTTTTCAACCAACCAACATCATCATGTGTATGCGGTACTAGATGTATATTAAGATATCCTGGTTTGCCTAAATTACACGAAGCATATCCACATTTTGAAGTGTGAATTGTTTCAAATGTATTATGAAAACTATATGCATTCGCATGAAAAGTGACGATGAATGTGGGAAATGAAAAGAATAATGCAATGATTAGTAGTGGAAATGATGAGAATGAATGATTGCTTAAATTTGACATTATAGAAATGGATGCGTGTGTTCGAATGAACTTGATAGTTTTATAATTAACTACTGATGACTGTGAGTGAGTAGAATTGTGTATTTATAGCATTTATGTTCCTATATGTCTAGATGTCGGGAACCAATAGGATAGATATACTAATTAACTTAACTGTCTGTCAATCAGACTGTGTGTAACAGTGATGATAGTGAATTATATTTGCACACACACACACACATGTCCACATATGTGGTCAGTAAACAAGTTGTCGATACTCTAGGCATATAGATTTAATTAGTCTGTATAGATGGGTGTGATAGATGACATTTGTATCAAGGTTATCGAATCGAATCAGACTGTTGGCACAATATTACTGTTTTCGATTAGATCATCGTCAGGCTTTACTCTTTGATATACATGAATGATTTATATGAAAATGTTAAACTAAACAAGGCGATTTCAGTGATAATCACAATGAAATGAAAAATGTGATAACTAAAGTTTTATCAATAGTAGGTCAAAGGTGGATGAATAGAATTCAAATAAACAGTAGAAAACATCAAAACCATTACGTAATCAGCAAATGTGTAAAAATAAAAATAAAATAAAAAATATACTGTCCATCGTTAGTTACGTCATATCCGGCCACGGAAGAGATAGGGCTGTTACGAATTTCTTCTAAACACGTAAACTGGGGTCGGATGTATGTATTCCTATGGTTTCTGCAATGTGTAGGAGACGGGATCGAACTCCGTTGGGAAATGATGGAGGTATACGATAGATCACCCGAAAAGATCTACATTTATCTACATTGTGACCACTATCTACCAGGTGTGCTAAGATAGAACTGTGTATTGTTTTTGAATGACCCTTTGTAAATCATGCTGAGAGATGTTCACTCATTCGTTGTGTAAGTTGCCTGGAAGTACGCCCGATATAGCTATCTTTACAGGAGCAGCTGAATTTGTGAATGCACATAGAGGAAGCCAACTCAGATAACTTATCCTTCTTTTGAGTAGACATCGCTGGTCGACTGGAGAAGGTCAATGCAAGTTTGGCAGCGTTGAATTCTTTATTAATTACTCTTTATAATCTGTCCTGCAGTATGGGTAGGCGTTACTTATTTTATAACTAATTTTAGTTATGTCATAACTAACCAATCAGATTAGTTAAGCGCTCACAACGTTATCTAGTCTGACCGGTCGATAAACTTTCTTTGTTGTGAATGACCTATCGATTGAAGGATGTTATTATTTTATTTTATATAGATGTGACTCATGTTTTTTATTCATTCTCTAAAGACACACTATACTGGCCGGTACGTTTGCCCATCTTACTTGATAATTGTAATTTCCTTATTTACTGTATTAATCTAATCGTTTCTTTTTGTTTAGAAACAGATAAAGTTTAATACCAAGTTTTCATTGTTCTGGTTTTATCGTCGATTCTGTGAGCACCAGTATTGCGTTTACTGTTATAGAATTACATCTGTAGGCCAAATTAAATCCTACAGTAGGTGTAGTAGGGGCGGTAACGGTGTAAGATTCATGGATGCGCTCTTCTGATAAGTCTCATACCACAAAGAAACGGCGGTTCAGTGCTTTCAGGTGTCTTATGGTGTTTTAACAAGGATTGATTGACGGGCTTAATGTGCTGTAATGGCAATAGTTAGGATTAGTCGACGGAAATCCAATTCGAAAGAAAATGTAACTCAATGAGTTAATAAAGAATGTATGAGGAATTTTCAAAATTAGAGTCTAGAGGAAGATAAACAGTGTATGTATCTGCGTCTCTGTGAACTGTTCTGTGACATATCACTCAAAGTCTCTATCTGTTGATACGGAATTTATGCCAAATCCAATTAGGAAATCTGCTCCTGTGGTCATTTTTCAGTTTATCGAAGAAATGATGTATGTACCTGGAGAGGAAGCCATTAGTGTTCTTCTAACCTTCACTTACACAATCTGTCATCAACGGGCGAGGTTATTATATGATCATCCTTACCTAGTACTCTTTATATGAACTGACAAACGCTACTTTTATGGTTTCATTATCCTATGTTTCAAAGTCTCACATAATCTCAGTTGACGACTGCCAACTAGCATAAAACCTGGACGAGTGTGTACGACAGTCTTACGAATTTAATCATAGAGGGATCATATATCAAAGAATTTCATCTGACTTATGCATGCATCATGGTCCTCTCTAGTTGAATGCCTTCATTATAATAGATAATGAGCTGTCGAATGGACTACTGGTCCCATTTCGGATGATGGCAATGTAAACAGTCATGAGTTGGAAATACGATATATATTGCAGAAATTGAATTTCCAATATTTTCATTCTATTCTTAAGTATGTAAAACATCTAAATCTTAGTGTATATGATGGTGAAATTCGATAAAACAGCTGATGAGATTCCAGTTATTTCAATAACATATCAACTACATTTACGGAATGAATTCAGTTAGTTAAGATGTAATGGTATTTAAGAGATAAGTAAGTGAACTTTGAACATTAGTAATATTGTCGATCCTGGTTAGCATAATAAGCTATACAGTTCAAACAAACCTATTGATTTAATCATACAACTGAATTTGCATCTTAATTTATTCTATAACAGTGAATATAGTTTGATTCCAATGAAGTAACAATGACTGATATTCATTATTAATGAATATTCACCTAAATTAATTGATAGAAACAGGATTACATAAAATTTACATAGCAGAATTAATATAAGATAGTCTCCTTGATTATACAATTTTAGATGGAGATGCAGTTCCCATCTATCGTGAATAACAGATTTTCGAGATCGTCCTTAAGGACATTTCGAACTATCGTTTTCAGCGGTCCTCTTATTCATATTCATGTTTACAGGATAAACTATCACCACAAAAATCATCAATATGCAACTAGACGTTAACAAATGTGACACAGATCGCAATCACTGAGCAAAATCAACTCTGTTCACACCTATTTAAGTGATTATTAAGACTGACGAATAAGTCGATTTTCTAAACATCTCATTATTATTGATTAAGTAACCACATTTGTATCACGCTTAATTAGAGAAACTACATTTCATATGTGTATGTATAGCTGATGCTTCACTAATACAATCGAGTTGAGATTATTTATTTTTCGTCTTTAAAAGTAACATGTTAAGTCTTTTCTCTCAACATGGTTTCAGGTTCTTCTTCATTCTACATGTTCAGTGAACTATTTCGTTTACACCCTCAGTATAATCTAATCATATAATTACTGAATAATTGTTAGTACACTGTAGTACCGAATTCTTTATATGCACAAAATGAACAGTTATCTCTCAACTATGAGATATCTTAATAATACCTTTTGAAATAAGTTGTTAGATAGTTTCATTGAACCCTGTTCATAGTTAATGCTTGCAAACTATCAATTATTCAAGTTGACATCTATTTTTAAATGTAGACATTTTAGCAGTTCTTGGAAATGACTATCGAATGATTATTAGTATTTCGACGAATCGAAAAAGTTTATTAAAAAACTGAAAATATATTTCAATCTGTCTCGGGCAACTCAGGAGTCATTCTCGATCCAGGAATTGTTTAAATCAGAAGTCTTAGACATCAGAAATGGCGACTCCATAAAGGAGAAACCAACGGATTATAAGAACGCAAACCACAACTGATAATTCAAACAACTGAAATTCTGCCGTTCATTTATAAAAGTAATCAGAGCTTATTATGTAAGTCAAGATATTTCGGAAGTTACGAGGCTCATGACCATTCTCACAAACATAGCAAATATTCATGAATAAATATTGAAAACTCGTACATTGCATGACACTGGAAGAACCATTCGAGTTGCTGCGGAAAAGAGAAGATAGAATCTGATGTTGTTTGGAAACTCATTGGACACGGATTATTCCATTTCGACAAGCTTTCGATGAGATGTAGTTATGCCATAGGCGAGTGAAAATTCCACGCACCCCCCCCAAACAAGAGTTTCTCATTCGTGACAACTCGCAGACTAGGGAATGACTGATGTGTACTTTGATGTTCTCAATTTTATCTTAAATCATTATTGAAATAAAACTACTTAACAACAATTGAGTGGAATCTATCAAATATCCATTTTTGTTTGATTAGTGATATAATGAATATGATGAGGATTGTGATGTTGCGTATTGTTTGTTCTAAAAGTAACGAGTAGATATATAAATACAGTGATTCTGAAACCTAACATTTATTCTGTTCTTTTAAATTAGTACAGTAATGTTAGGAAATTTTACGTTTCATTGTAAACTCTGCTCAAGATGAATAAATTTGTTTTTTATCAATTGGATCAACTTGCGATACACAACAAATAAGATTTACATAACCACCAGATTCGCACTTGAGAGGAATGCATACTTCCAGGTTCAAAATGTGGACTGGTTAGATAATGGATCAGATATTGCCTGAATTGATAATGGTAGCAAAAGTTATATTCACACTCTGAAATACTGACTTATTTCGGATAAAGTTGGTTTGGATAAATTATATAACATGCTTGATGCGATATCGCTTATTCATTTCATAATGAGGACGAATATAGATATATATATACTAATATATTCGAAAAACAGTTACAGAATGCACGTTGAATTGCAAACACGATCCGACTGACACAGAAAACAGTATGATCCGTAACACAGAGATGTATAATCTCGAACTGCTTTTAAATGATGAAGTCCTTGTATTGCTTGGCAACCAGGATAATCCAATATCTTTTTCACGAGCTGGTGTGAACCAATTTTATTTCTTCTCGCTCGATTCTTGTTCTTTCGGTACGGCTCCAGATGTTCGACAATGTCTAATGGATGAAGGTCTAGCCAATCAACTGTATAATTCTAGTCAGTTGGCAGTTGGTTGTGAGTTTGTATGTCTCGGGATTTGAATGAAAACGTTTGTTTCAGTGCAGTAGGGTTTCCGGATACTATCAGGTATCATATTACCAGACCGAAGATCAGTTATTTGTAATGTGGTGAGTAAT